CAACAAAGCACAGCGTCCTCTCCCCTTCTCAAGACAAAGAACCAGCCACCCGTTTTGCTGATCTGTTCAATTGCTTCACAGGGATAACTTGAAAAGAGATCCAATTCTGAAAGCACTGATTTTGCCGGGGGGGGGCATCTTCAGGGTGGAACACCTGGGGTGATCTTGAATTCAGTGCCCCTGCATCTGCTGCCCTTCAGATATCTTGGACCGTAACCACTTTCCCCAGCGGGTGTTTGCTGTTCTCCTTGATTTGATCAATCTGGGCCTTTTCTGTCTGTCTCCTGGGTGCTTGGTGGAACATACCAAATTTAGAGGAAACAGCAATGAAGGATGACATCCCATCGAAGCAATAATGGGGGCATTCATCATAATGACCGGAAGGAGTCTGGTAGCATCTTTTCAGACGAAGAAATTTTATTAAAAAGCAGACACCTTGACTGATGCACTGTAACCCAACGTATCTGGGGAAGGCTGTATTATTAATACTAATTTTAATATAGTGCAATTAAAATGTTCTATTTCCTATACCATAATCGTATCAAAAACGTAATTTTTATTATTTAAACAGGCTTCTGATTTGGGAATCAAGAAGGGACAGAGAATAATAAAAGTTTTGGAAGCCCTTACGTTAACTCAGTCGTTCTCAGGACCCTGTGGATTCTTTGAGGGTTTTTTGATTCATGAATAGGGACACCATGGATTTAATAGTGGCCTGGGCCATATTCCCTTTGGCAACCAGCATGGCATGGGGGCATAGGGGCATAGCTGTACCTATATGTTTGGGGCTGGTTAGGCTCCATATTTTAATCAGAAGGAGAGATGGAAAAGCAGGAATATGGTCACCAACTTGAAAGAGGCTCTTGGTCTTTAACCCCTTCTCTTCTAGCAGGTAATCATAACACTATATTTGACTTTAATGTCTGCTACTAGAGCTTGCTCTTTTCCTCTGCCCTCCTCATCCCATTATCCTTTAATGTCGTATCAAGTTATACTTGCAGTCATGTGTGACCTTATTCTTACTGATTCTTTCTAAGTTATTCTGAGAGTCTTTTCAGCTGGAGAATGGGATGGAAATGCTTTAAATAACTTCTACACGCTTGTGAGGATAAAAGGCAGGGGAAGAAAAGAACTCAGTCTGCTGCTCTGGTCTCGGAGGAAGGGTGGGAGGTAACTGAAATAAATCCTGGAGAAATTTATTGGAAAACAAGTCTACTGAGGACTCTTTACCTTGGGGACCCAGTGCTACCTCAGGCTGGGGCCAGCTGCCCTTCAAGTCCCACTTGGGGAGATAATGGCAGAAAAGGTAGAACTCTGTCTACTTTTCTGAATATTCTCCAAACACGTAGCAACCTGCAAGGGACTTTGTAATCTGGGGCTTTGTGATACCTATAACAGATGGGACTTGGAAGTACTTCAGGTGGGAGACAGGAGA